CCTCATCGCGGTCCGGTCCCGCCGCAGGCTCCCCCCCGCCCCGCTTCTCTCTCGCCCTTGGGGCTCCCCTAGCAGCCACCACCGGCTCTGCCCGTGGCTATGGCTCCCCCGACCCCTCCGACAGCCTCAGAAAAAGCAGAAGGAGCCCGGGCACAGGCCGGCCCGGGGTGGGGGCGCGCAGATTCGGGGAGAGAGGGACAAAACGGACCCGCAGGGCGGCTGGGGAGGCAGAGGGATGGAGAGAGAGAGAGAGCGAGCCCCAGGCGTGTCTGCGGGAAACAAAGGGCCTGAGAACAAATGCCGTGAAGAGAAATGTCTTCGAGGGTTTAGCTTTATCCCAGCCCCATGTGCTCTGAATAGTAATCTGCCTATTCCCAGCCACTGCGGAGTTCTGCGTGACCTGATCATCTCTGATTTCCTTCTTCTACCAGGATGGCTCCCAGTTAGTTTTGCCTCTTTGTCTCATATTGTTCAGTTGCTAGTATGGGTTAGTTACTATTTTTTTAATTTTCTGCTGGTTTTAATCTATGCTGTTCACACTTTGCAAAGTCCAGCTCTGCCTGATACAGCGCGCGCCCTTTATTTGGCAATTTGTCTGTAGTATGAGTCTGTAGATTCACGTCTCCACAGGATCTTTTTTTCCTCTCTCATTTTTCGGCTGAGAAGTGTTAATCTGGTTTCTGGGTGAGCGTATCAGTTTTTCCACAACCTTGCATTGTGACTAGAGCCTACAAGAGAATCTGCTTTCCATGCAGGATCCCTCCAGTGAACAGCGGCCTTCCTTTAGCAGCCTCCAAACCGTTCAAAAGGTGCAAAATGCAACTGCACCGATTTAAGCTTTTGTTCATAAGAAGAAAAGAGCTCCAATGCTAAGGAAGAGCAGGTCCTACAGTGTTTGGTATTACCTGTATTCATTTTAGATCTACTCATCTGTGATTATTATTGCAACATTACAATTAGTATTTTAATCACAAAGTTAAAGAATACTCTGTTGGGGTTTCTACAGCAACATGATAACTATGCTATCACGTGTGTCTGATGGCACTTCTCCGTGGATGCAAGCGCACAGACTGTTCGTTCTTTCTGAGGTTTCTTCTGGGGGTATGTATATGCATTAGTTTAGAAGCTGTCAGGACTGGCAAGAGTTTAATTTGTTTTCAAAATATTTGAATATATACAAGATGTTAGCCTGAAAGCAACTCATTACGGCCATATTATGGCCATTTTTAAATTGTCTGAAAATTTGTTGCTGTCATGACAAGTCGGTTGCTTTTATCCTTTGGAAGGGCTGGTTAAAAGCATGCTCAGCCTAGCTGGTTAAGGCTTCCTTCGTTGCCTAGTAAACACTTTTTGGCATCACAGTAACAGCAATATTTCATTTTTCCTGACCTAAGCTCTTTCCCCACCCCGCCCCCTCTAGCCTGGAAGAGGAAGAGTTCTGCTGATCAGCACAGGAGGAAGGGAACAGATGAATGATGAATCTTGCAAAACACTTCAGGCAAAGCTTTGAGCCTGGTACTTATTAATGTATTCTGATTTCATTTGTCTCCCATAGGTGTGTGGGCCAGCAGGAATCTTACATGCACAGAACTTGCTTTACCTATGTAGGGTAGAGGTGTTTGTGCTTGAGGTTGCAAAATGGTACTAAGCAGGAGGTGGGGGGAAAAGAGGGGGGCTACACAGGGAAAAAGGTTTGGAAGTAACTAGAATTATAAAAGAAGCATCAAGAAGAAAAAAGCAATTGTCAAAATTATTCTCACCCAAGACAGGGTTCAGGTTTAATCGAATGATCCACATGTAGAGATGCAGTCTTGAACATTTTAATTTTTATCATGATTGTAACTTTTGATGTAATGGTATAAGGAGACTAAGCCTTAATTTGTTTTAATAACTGTAAGTTTGCTTTCACTATGATGTGAGGTCTGTTAATGCTACAGGAAATAATGCTTTTGTTAAAATTTACAAATCGGGGACTTGGTCTGGCTTCCATTCAAGACATTGATAACAGTTTCATTAAGTTTCATTGATACCAGTTACACTTCTAAGAAATACTGGAACTGATGCATTTGTTTTCCTGGCATGTCTGCTTTGCACTTGGGTTGCAGCTTCTGTCTTGGCTAGAACATTTATAAGTGTCTCCCCCATATGGTTTCTCTTGTGTTTGAACTGTGTGAGCTCATGTTGCAGTTTTTCCTTTGGCTGTGGCACTTACAGGTGCCGTGTATAAAGTCACTCTCATCTGCTTGACTACTTTTATTATGCTTGTAGAAAGCTCATTATCTATGTGACTTCTACCTCTGTCATATTTCTCACAATCGGTCAAAAGTTACTGGCAAGAGCAAAGACAAAGCAACAGTTACATAGACAGTATGTTTTTGAGAACCTTGATTCTTTTGGACATCACGCTTAAAATAACAGTAAGAATTACAGGTCTGCCTAAAATGAAACTGCACTATGCTTTAAGGGTGGACTTTACCTTCGCATGTTTATAAACAAGAAACAAAGACCTACTACTCTGATATAGCTGATACAGCTTTAAAAAGGTGCCAGATATGAGATGTTCTCAAGTGCATTTGGTTGCCTTCAAAAGTTTTGTCTCTGCTGTACAAAACTGTTGAAAACTCATTCACAAATTGAATTAGAAATGAAAAGGAAAGAAAAAATTATGTTTCCTCAGTTAGGAAAATAAGCAAGTAGGTCTTTGGAAATCTCGAAAGGTCTCAATGGATCTGGGCATTATGTACAACTTTTTGATTCTGAAATTACAGTATCCAACTTTTCAGAAAAAACAGTGTCACAAAATGTTGAGAAAATAGTAAATCTTTGGAAAGTGTGCTAGTTATACTCCTGCAGCAGCACTGCGGGATTTAAAGTTAGTAAAGAAAGGCTTGTTTTGGTCTTTCTAGATTGGTAGAGAAAATAATCCATTAAGATTACATTAGAGTGGGTGAACTGGCTCCAGCTGATGTACATAGCAATTCTCCCTTTTGCAAAACATTTTCAATATTTAATCTTAGTATTTAGTTTGTACCTCTTATGCACAGAAGTAGTACCTGTTGACAGCAGTCCCATGCAAATCTGTGCTGTGTACCTGGCAACTTCCATGAGAACAGTTGTAGGAAATCCCCTGCTAGAATAGGTCTTAATTTCTGTGCAATTTCACAGTGTTGGCTGCCTTTTTCTCTCCTGGTATTTGACAGCCCCAATACCAAACTGTTTATAAAACAAAGAATAATAAATAATCCATAGGTATGCACTGATCTGACCACTCCAACCCACTCCCTGCTGCTGTATTTCTGTGCATAGATTCCTCAGGTTACCTGAGAAATGGAAATATTAGAAATACTCGCATAATACAGCAGCAGCATGGGTTATTCATATATGCAAGGCTTAAAAGGAAACTTACACAAGAGCTTCTTTTATCCTAATAGCTTTCTAAAAGCACTTGATAGTTCTTCCCTGTCGCTGACTCTGGTTTTGCATGAGTTGTGTGAGGGTACAGGTTATCAGAGGAATAATTTTAAATAAATGGTTCTTGTGAATAGGTGAAGGTGTCTGATGTGTGGGTTATACATGCAAAAAATAGTAGTCCTGCATTTCAAAAACATTTAATACCAAGCATTTAAAATTCAGCTGGAGAATCAGTCTAATTCTGCTCCCATTTAAATCAATAGCAAAATTCACTGATTAGCCTCTTCCTGTGTTCAGTAAAGCTGCTTACCTTTATTTTCAAGTTGCTCATACAGTATGCTCTCAGCGTAGATTCTAGAAAAGCTGAGCACTTCCAGCTGTTGGTGGAATTCAGCTAAAATACTATTGACAAGTGAAGGCCTGAGTCAGTCCCATCTTATTGCCACTGATAGCCCTAAACCAGGGTATTCTCTCCTGCATTCCCTCCTCACCAAACAGCAATGTAGATGTGACAGATCAGAGCAAGGGTTGACTTCAGGCAATGCGATATGAGAAATTCCCCCAGGAAATAAGAGCAAGTACAAAGCAGAGAGAATGTAACCAAACAGCCAGGCACAATGTATTGTAATGAGATTATTTTCAGACTGTCCATCTAACAATTTCTTACAATTATTTCTTCACAAGTATGCTGGGGCTGATAGATCAGCCACTGGAATCAATGGAAAAACTTATGCACGTGACCTAGTGGGCACCAAACAGGGGCTGAAATCAGGACTAGAAAGAGAGGAAGCAAGGCTCCACACAAAGGAGATTTCCATGTGCAAAATGGGCCACAGAATGGGTGCCGTAATGAGTCAATATTTTTAGGATATAAGTCAGCGCTCTTATAAAATAATTTTATTCGTTAATCTCATACTTTTTTAACAAACACGGGCAGCAGAAATTTGAAATCCTGCCAAGTCTGACTCAAAATTAATTTGGGTTTGTGCTTATATGGAAGAGAATAGGCCTTTTGTCTGTAATTATATATAAGCTCCATAGGGTGACCCTGCATTACACAGGATGTAACTGAACAGCCTGTAATTGATGAGGTTTCCATTACCGCATAACACAGTGCGCACAGTAATGAGATCATAGAAAAACCTTTTTTAAAGTGTTAAGTACTTTATTGTACAACAAGCTGAGTTCATATTATAAGGCCATAAGAAAACCGATTTCCTGGAACAATTCAATACAGAGGTGCATATGTGCCTAATGGGGTTATACAGACATGACAAAATAATTGCATTTAAAACTGGAAGGTGAACTGAATCACACAAAACTGGTGAACGCTTTTTGTTTAATGTAGTGAGTGGAAAAAATGCTATTTCAACTGAGGTAGTTTTGATATTTCCAAAGTAACTATCCATCGTTTAAAAACGACCACAGTTTTCCACAGAAAAAAAAAAGGATTTTTGAATAGCAATGAAATGTGGAGATATTTGTTTGAAAAATATTTTTTTAAAAACAAAAAAAGCCCTGCATTCAGTAAAGGCTCTAATTCTGCAAATACGTACCCTCATTCGTAGTATGTACACATCTGCACACTGTGATGTCTCCGTGTGTAAAGCAGGTTACATGGGTACCCAATGTAAAACTTCGGAGGACTGGAGACATGATTTGTTCACGCTGTTGCTACTGTTTCCGCAACACCAGGGAACATACAGCTAATACAGCATACAGTCTTGTTCATGCAGTTGCAATGTGATGGTGTTTGAGGCCGCATTTTACATTGTTTCTATGAGCAACCTCCATGCACTCCTTCATGTTCCTCTCCCAGAAGGACCATTGAGCAGATCCCAAGTGTGCAATGCCATGTGGCTGAGTGGGGAGTGAGACTCAAGTGTGAGAGCAGGAGTGCCTCAGCGTGACTGTGTCAGTACAGCAGAGGTGCTGCTTTATTTCCTGATGCTTAGAATAGGAAGTAAATGCGGCATCACATATGTTGCAGTCTGTTAGCTAGGTGAAAGGTGAGTTTGTGTAGCCATTCTATAAATAAGCATACTTAAAGAGGCAAGAATATGTCAAAGAGGATATTTGGAAGAAGTGGAATGGAAGATGGTGTTTGTTAATGAACAATCTTAACAAATGTTGCAAAGAAATGGAACTTCAGTTCCGAACCTGACTACCTTGGGTATATGTGGGTTTTGGTACTTGATTCATTGAGTTCATCCTTTAAGGGAAGCTCTGTACGTGATTCATTCTGTGCTCATGCTGGAAAAACAACCCACTCCATAAAAAAAAAAAAAAAAAATCAATGGGCATGCTACACCTTTGAAAAAATATTTAACATTTGTGGAAATGTTTAACATTTTGGTTTAGATCTAAGAGAGAAAAGGTGAAAAAAATAATTTTTAATGTTTTCTTCATCATAAAAACATACATTTTGGACTCTTTTTCATGTAGAAAATGGCCTTTTCAAGTCAGTCAACATTAGGTAAGCCTTCCGCAGAGCAGGATGAAGC